GGTCGGCCGGGCGGGACGCTGGGGCATTAGCAGAGCAGGGGGCAGAGCTGGGGTCAGGGGAGGCTGTTAATGAACATGGATCCCGCATTGAGTGCCATGCTGGCTTTCAGGCCAGCTATCAGCCCCGCGACGGGCGTGGTGGCGTCGAGACAGCTGGTTCACAGTTGATCTTTCTAAGTTCTCTAAAACCGACCCAGTGCGATTGTTGGAAATCTGGTGCCTCCGGAGGGGGCATGGTGGGGCTGGTGACCCAGATTTGGAGTCTTCTGAGTCGGGTGGGCTGGAGATATTACTCCCTCCTACACCTCAGATAAACCAAACTGTTGCTGTGACTGCGGATTGGAGCGATCTCTGTCCATTGAGGGTTACTGGGGGGGTGCGTGGACCCCTGAAATCTTTGGGGGCCCAAGCTGAGAAGAGGAGTTACACGGATGTACGTTTTTACACTACGCGGGTGCCCAGACAGAAAACCGACTAGAGATTTCCACTCCCATCTTTTTACGTGCTCTTTCCTGCTCTCAACCCAGAATGGTCAGTCGAACTGCTTTGGAATTGAGGGGCCTCCTGGGAGTGGGGGTAGCATTAGTGATCCAGATTGGCCGTCATTTGACCAAGGGGTTCCTGAGTTCCAAACCAGTTGCCTTGTGCTGTTACCGGAGCTGTGCCAATGCCAGACCTGGCTGTGAACCCCCCTTCAATCGAGTGACTCCCAGCCCCTCCCCTCAGGCGAACGGTGTTTGGGGCTGAGAGCAGCAGGTCGAAATGGTGTGAGAGTCCTGCGGGGGCAGGTTTAGTTTGGGGGATGGAATCAGAGTCTTTGGGGGCAAAATGAGACGCGTGGCTGCTTCCTGGGAGGAGGGGGTATTGGGGGCAGAGGTGTGGGGGGAGAGAGGTTTGAGGCTGCAGCGAGGAGAGGAGTGGGGGGGAGGGAAGCTAGGGGGCCCGGAGGGGTGCGAGACTGGGAAGGGGTGTGGGGTGAGTAGTAGGGAGCCTGGGGGAGAGTTGGGGCAGGGGCCTCTGTCAGCCCCACATTCTCCCCTCCTATGCGTGTGCCCAGATCTGGGGGGGTCTTGCCCTACCAAGGGGGTCTGAGCCCCCGCCCTGTCCCCCAGGAAAGAAAAGAGGCTGGCCATGCCCCGTTCCCTGTGTTCTCCAGGGGGTGACAGGCGCCAGCTGGCCTCAGTGGTGCAGTCGGTGGGCCAGGTGCCCCGGCAGTGCATGGCGCAGGCTGCGGCTGGCCCTGTGTTTGGGCTCTGAGGATGCGTGAGGTGTGGGACAGAGCTGGGACTAGATGGGAGCACGGGGGGGGGGCGGTGCCCGGGCATATTCAGGGCCAGGGCCGGATTAACTTTTTGTGGGCCTGGCGCCAAACATATTTGTGGGCCCTCCTGGGGAATGAATGTAAAAGGGGCTGGGGGTAAAAGCACAGTGGGGCAGGAGCTAGGGTTGGTCTCTGGAGCAAGGGAGGGGTCAGGGGTAAACTGCAAGGGCAGCAGGGCTGGGGAGGGGGTAAACAGGACCCCCCCACACCCCTGCCCACATAGAGCGGGTATCTACCTGGTTCTAGCCCATTCTCTTTGTCTCTCTCTCTGCATTGAGCTGCCCCTCCTCCCGCAGCAGCAGGACAGGTTCTCTTCCAGCCCTCGGGGGTGGGTGTTGAGAGTGGGAGGAGCGGAGGCTAATGTGGTCACTCCTATAACCGGACATGCCCCCCCGGAGCATCGCTTATTATAAATTTTCAAAAACGAATACAGTGGAGTCACATCTTACGCGGGGGTTAGGTTCTAAGGTCAGCGCGTAAGAGGAAAATCGCGTATAGTGAAAATTACCATAAACTACGCTACACACAGTATACACTGTATACACTAGGACAGGGGTCCTCAACCTACGAGCTGATTTTTTTTTTATTTTTATTTTTTAATGGCAGGCTGCGGGTCCCGGCCATCGCTGAGCCTGCTGCCGGCCCGGGGTCCCGTTCAGCCAGCTGCCAGCCGGGGTCCCAGTCGGTGACTCCGCTCAGCCTCCTGCCGTTCACCTAGGCCGGCAGGAGGCTGAGCAGGGCTGGTGGCTGAGACCCTGGCTGGCAAGGGGCCGACGGCCAGGACCCCAGACTGGCAGTGGGCTGAGCTGCTCAGCCCGCTGCCGGTCTGGGATTCCGTCCACTGGCTCCTACCAGCCGGGGTCCCAGCCGCCGGCCCTGCTCAGCCTGCTCAGCCTGTTGCCAGCCGGGGTCCCGGCCGCCGGATCCGTTCAGCGTCCTGGCGGCCTGGGTGAACGGAACCCCAGGCCAGCAGGAGGCTGAGTGGGGCCGGTGGCCGGGACCCGACTGGCAAGGGGCTGGCAGCCAGAACCCCAGACCGGCAGCGGGCTGAGTGTGGCCGGTGGCTGGGATCTCAGCCCGCTGCCAGCCGGGGTCCCAGCCGCCGGCTCCGCTCAGCCTCCCGCCGGCCTGGGTGAACGGAACCCCAGGCCGGCGGACGGAACCCTGGGTGAACGGAACCCCAGGCCGGCGGATGGAACCCTGGGTGAACGGAACCCCAGACCGTTCACCCAGGCCGGCAGGAGGCTGAGCGGAGCTGGCTGGGACCCCAGCGGGCTGAGTGGGGCTGGTGACTGGGACCCCGGCTGGCAGGAGCCGGCCCTGCTCAGCCCGCTGCCGGCTGAGTGAACAGAACCCCAGGTTGGCAGCAGGCTCAGCGGCGGCCGGGACTCGCAGCCTGCCATTAAAAAGAAATCGGCTTGCGTGCCACCTTTGGCATGCATGCCGTAGGTTGAGGACCCCGTTCTAGTGTATACTGTACTTTATGGTAATTTTCACTATACGCGATTTTCCTCTTACGTGGTGACTTTAGAACCTAACCCCCATGTAAGATGTGACTCCACTGTAGTCTTAAAAATTTTTTGGGGGGCACTGCTTTTTGGCACCCCCAAATCTTGGCGCCCATGGCAGTTGCCTAGTTTGCCTAGTGGTTACACCGGCCCTGACAGTATCCCCAGCCCAGATGACGTGATAGCCAGTGGTGGATTTAGAGTTAGTGGGGCCCCCCAGCCCTGTGCTCAGCTTCATTTTTGGGGCTCCTCCTTGGGACACAGCCAAGAAAAAGAACATTCTCTCTTATCTCCCCCTGCCCCTGTTTTTCATTCTTTTTTTCTTCATCCTCCTCCTATAAGTAATAGCAAGTAAATGAAAATAAAGTGAGGTACCTTGATCGTTCCTGTAGTCTAACTTATTTTTCCACAGACCACTTGAAAATCACGGAGGGTCTCGACGGACCACTTAATGATCTTTCCAAATATTGTACAAAAAAGTTCGGGTGTGGGGTCTGGCCAGGAGCTAGGGCGAGGGAGGGGGCTCAGAGTTGGGGCAGGAGGTTGGGGTGTGGAGCGCTTACCTGGGGCAGCTCCTGTTTGGTTCTCAGGATGGGGGTGGGGATGTGGGGGGGGGTGCAGGAGTCAGGGCAGGGGGCTGGGTGTGTGTGAGGGGATGCAGGAATCCAGGCTGGGGAGGTGTGGGGGGTGCAGAGGTCGGGGTGGGGAGGTGTGAGGGGGTGAGAGGGGGTGCTGGAGAGGTGTGAGGGGGATGCAGGAGTCAGGGCAGGGGACGTGTGGGGGGTGCAGGGGTCAGGGAAGGGGGCTGGGGGGTGTGAGGGGGAGGTGTGAGGGGAGTGCAGAGTCAGGGCACGGGGCTCAGGGTGTATGAGGGGGTGCAGGGGGCTGGGTGTGTAGGGGGGTGCAGGAGTCAGGGCAGGGGGCTCGGGGTATATGAGGGGGAGCAGGGGTGTGTGTGGGGGGGGTGCAGGAGTCAGGGCAGGGGGCTTGGGGTATGTGGGGGGGGTGCAGGGGTTAGGGAGGGCATGGGAGTGGGCTGGGGTCATGGGGGTGCTCACGCAGGGGGCTGGAGGGGGTATGCCCCAATTGCAGTCCCTTCCCCAACACCTCACCCCCGCCCCTCCTCCTCCTCCTCTCTGGAGCGGTGTGCTGCGGCTCGTCCCCCGTCCTGCTGGCAAGGCTGATCCAGCTGACCGGCGGGGGGCGGGGGGGGAACATAGCACGCTGGGGAAAGAGGCGGAGGAGAGGCGTCACCCTGCCTCTCCTCCTCCTCCTCCCCGGAGCAGCGTGCTGCGGCTCCCTCCTCCCCCTTTTCTCTGTCCTGCCGGCAAGGCTGATCCAGCTGATGGGGTGGGGTGGGGGGAGAATGTAGCACGCTGGGGAAAGGGGCGGGGCAGGAGCCAGGCTGCCGGCAGAGGCTGCCACGGAGCCACCGCCGCAGCGTCAAGCTCTGACCCCACAGGAGAGAGCGGGGGGCGGAGAAGAGCGCGCCGGTGCCCCTGTCGACCATGGGCGTGGCGCCGTTATAAATCCAGTATTGTTCAGGGCACAGGCTGCACTGTTCCTGTGGCGGCAGGTGTGGGCAGTCGGTAGCAGGGCAGAGGCTCTTTGAACAGCTGCCGTCTGCAGCGAGGGGGCCATGGCAGGGGCCCGTGGTCGGTAGGTGATGGCGCAGGGCACGCAGGGGAACCGAGGTAGCGTCCGGGACTCATCTGAGGCTGCCAGGTGGCTCTGGGGTTGGGCCCATGGTCTGTCCTTTTTGGGGACCTGGCTCTGTGAACCTTCGTGGGCTCCAGTCACGTCAGGGGGATGTTGTGGTGAAGGGGATGGGCTGCAGATGGAGATGAATGGGGAGCAGAGTAAAGGAGGGTGTTATGGGGCATTGCTGAATGAGGGCAGAGTTAAGGTTGCATGGGCAGCCTTACTGCCGCATTTCCTGCTTTTCACACATCCGAGTTTTTCTCAGCATCCTGCCATCAGTGTGTTGCCACTGAATTTCTCTTCAGCTCCAGCCTGGGGCACAGACAGAAGCCTGCCACTCCCTATTGAGCCAAGTCTGCAGGAGCCAGCACCATCCGGGGGGTAGCATTGTGTGGGGCTTATTCCTTGGGGAGGAGAGGCCTGAGGAGCCCTTGAGTAGTTGAAGGAAAGAGGATGTAATCTGGGGAACTCTCTGCTGCAGGATATTGTTGGATCCAATAACGGGGCAAGGTTTGAACAGGGAAACAGGACTCCCCTCGGTGAGGCTCTTCACCCTCATGCTCCAGGGCATGGGCTGGGACAGGAATTGCCCCACCCCGGCCCAAGGACAGAGGTGACCAGGGAACCGGACTCCTTCTTCTGGGGCATCCGCTGGGGGGCCATTGGCAGAGGCGGGACACATTATGGTGGGAGAGGGGATGTGGGGCGAGGTGGACCCGGGCCTGATCCAGCAGGGAGGGTGCGCGGCTAGCAGGGTAGATGGGCCAGTGGTCCCATCGCGTCTGGATGCTGGGCCAGAGAGGCCGGTTCGCTCCCGGCTCGGTTGACTCTGTTTTGTCGCCCCCCCAGGCCTGTGGCTCCGAAACGGGACAGGGCTGATCAGGAAGGAGGGGCGCCAGCTGTACTGGACGTTCGTCTCACCCCAGCTGGGATACTGGGCTGCCGCTCTGCCCTCCCCCACCACAGGTGAGGCAGCCACCCCCAGCCTCGGGGGGAGGAGCCCAGCGCCCTCCCCAGCCGCAGGGAAAGGGTCAGGGCTGGGAGCCGTCTGGCCAGCAGAGCAAGTCATGGGGAGACAGGAAGCAGGGCCCCGTGGGCAGGCCAGGCCTGGCCCAGCTGTCGCTGCCGCGCCCAGCCCAGGCGTTGTTCCAATGGGCTCCCAGGCAGAGCAGCCCCCAGGCCACAAGATCCTGTCCTGGCCCCCGTCCCCGTACTGGAGCCGGCCGACGCCCCTGGCTGGCCCCATGGGGGAGCCTGATGGGTCTAGGCCTGTGGGCTTCTCCAGGGGGCCCGGGGCTGGGCCCCCAGCCGGAGCAGAGCCTCTCTTGGGCAGCCCCTGTGGACCTTGGGCCTGGCCGGGGGCAGCTCAGCTGCCGGTGGGGGGAGGGGGCAGGAGCCCCGGAGGGCATGAAGGGGCGCCGGGAAGGCAGCAGCAGCCCCCAGGGGAGCAGCTGGTCTGAATCTTGGTGCTGCGGATGCCGCTCAGGCAGCAGCTGGGAATGCCAGCTCCCTGCCCTGGGCATTGCTCAGTGCCTGGCTGGGGGTGGGCCTGTTCCCAGGCTGCTGGGTCCCCCACCCCTGAATTGGGGAGCCTGTGCTTGGCCAGCTGCTCGCTGGGCGGGGTGGTGGGTGCTGGCAAAGCACAGGGAGGCCTCAGCATCTTCCCCCACAGAGCAGGCAGGGCAGGGCAGGGCAAGCTGCTGCTCAGTGGTACTGGGACAGGAGTGCCTAGAGGCCCTGGCCAAGAGCCGTGTCCTTCCACACCGGGTGCTGCACAGACACAGGACAGGCCCCTCCCCAAAGAGGACAAGAGGGATTGGGAAATGGAGGAACGGGTGCGGGGAGCTGGGGCTAGAACCCAGGTGTCCCGATGGCAGGGCCTGGCCAGGTCCCCATTACTGCCGCCTGCCCGGCTCGCCCTGCCTTGCCTCGGCCCCTCCAGAAGTGGTAAGGAAGCAGCTTGATTGCTGGGAGCTGCCGGCGGGAAGGAGTGGTGCTGTGTTCCCGAGCCTGTCTCTGACCCGCTGCCGCCTGCCTTGCTAGGGCTGGTGGCGCTGGCGTCGGGGATGAAGGACATCACCACGTACCACACCATCTTCCTGCTCACCATCCTGGGGGCGCTGGCGCTGCTGGTGCTGAGTCTGCTCTGTCTGCTCATCTACTACTGCAGGTGAGGTCAGGCTGGCTGGGCGAGGGGACGTGGCCTTGGCAGGGGGCCTGGGCTCCGGTGGAAGCAGGGGGTGGCGCGGGCTGGAGGGGCCAGCTTGCCCTGCTGTTGCAGGTGGAGGGAGCGGTGGCTGGCACCAGGGGAGTGGGGGAGGGGATGGATGCAGGAGCCCAGCCCTCTAACCTGGCTTGCACCCCTTGCATCCTCCTGGCCCTTTCCACTTTTGATCTCTGTGCCCTACAAGGGGACTAGCTCCAGGCCTGGCTCAGCCCCCTGCCCCGCCCTGGCTCCCTCCCTCGGGTCTTGAGTTCCCCTCGGGGTAGGCATCTCTGCGCTGGCCCAGCGAGCTGGTAACCGAGTCCTGTCTCCCCAGGCGGAGGTGCCTGAAACCCCGACAGCAGCACAGGAAGCTGCAGCTGTCTGGGCCGCTGGATGCCTCGAAGCGAGACCAGGCCACCTCCATGTCCCAGCTCAACCTGATCTGCACCAGCCACCTGGAGACAGCCTCATCAGCTGGCGACCCCGACACGCACACGCCCATCCTCAAGTCAGCCTTCTCCAGCTCCCGTGAGCTGGGCAGCTCCCGCGAGGAGTTCTTCCGTCACAAGCTGCGGCATGTCAGCAAGGCCTCCACGGAGACGCTGAGCCAGCGGGGCGCCCCCAAGGAGGAGTACCCGCGCCCCGGGGAGAGCTTCTCACTCAAGGCCGCGCGCTCCATGGACGGCCCGGGCGCGCTGGAGCCCCCCATGCTGGAGGAATACAAGCGCAGCTTCTCCCACCAGCGCGTGGAGGACAAGGGCACCGAGCCATCGCGGAAGCACTCAAGGAATGAGAGCAAGCCCTACCTCCAGGAGCCGCCCTCCCCGCCGCCCCTGCCGCCCCCCTTTGACCACTACGTGGGCCACAAGGGGGAGCCCAAGCCCCCCGACTTCATGCTGTCGCAGTCCGTGGACCACCTGGCCAGGCCCACCTCGCTCACCCAGCCGGGGCAGCTCATCTTCTGCGGCTCCATCGACCACATGAAGGACAGCGTGTACCGCAACGTCATGCCCACCTTGGTCATCCCGGCCCACTACATGCGCTTGGCGTCGGATTACCCCTCCGGGGAGCAGGCCCTGGCTGGCCCGGCAGATAGCCAGCCTGAGATGGAGGGGCTGCCCGGCCCGGCCGGGATGACCATCCCACACCAGTTCGGGCCCCAGGACCAGCAGCGGCAGCTCCTCCAGCAGCAGCTCCAGCTGCAGCACCAGCAGGGCGAGGACTCAGAGGGCAAGGGCTGGGGGGCGCACTCCTCCTCGGTCAGCGGCTCCGTCACCATCCCGGTGCTGTTCAACGAGTCCACCATGGCCCAGCTGAACGGGGAGCTGCAGGCGCTGACGGAGAAGAAGCTGCTGGAACTGGGGGTGAAGCCCCACCCGCGGGCCTGGTTCGTCTCGCTGGACGGGCGCTCCTCCCAGGTGCGCCACTCCTACATCGACCTGCAGGGCAGCGAGAAGAGCCGCAGCAACGACGCCAGCCTGGACTCGGGCGTGGACGTCCACGAAGCCAAGCCCCACAAGCGGGCCAAGGAGGAGCGGGAGCGGCCCCCTGCCCCCACCGCCTACTCCAAGCTGGCCTTCCCCGATGACGCGGAGCAGAGCAGCAGCGAGAGCCGCACGGCCATCTGCTCCCCCGAGGACAACTCCCTGACGCCCCTGCTGGACGAGACGGCCGAGGCCCGGGCCGCCACCATCCCCCGCCGGGGCCGCAGCCGGGGCACCAGCTCCCGCAGCAGCGCCAGCGAGCTGCGCCGGGACTCCATGACCAGCCCTGAGGACGAGCTGACCGACCCGGCCGAGGGTGGCGACGAGCCGGGTGACAAGAAGAGCCCCTGGCAGAAGCGTGAAGAGCGCCCGCTCATGGTCTTCAATGTGAAGTAAGCAGGGGGGGCCTGCGCCCCCCCCCTGGAGCCAGCGCCAGCCCCTGGGGGGCAGAGGAGGGGGCGGGGCTGGATGCCAGCGCCTGACGGGGAGGTGCTGCATGACTGATCGCTCCATGCCCCCGGGGAGGCCCCTGTGACCAGGGCGACTCCAGACCAGGACCCCAAAGACCCCCCAGTCCTCTCGCCCTGAGGGCTGAGCTCTGTGGGGGAGCAGGGGAAGGGGGGGACCCACGCTGGGAGGCAGTGGGACTGACCCCCAGGGCAGTCCAGATGGAGAACCAGTGACCTGCTCCCCCCTGTAGCCGGGCACTGTCTGTCGCACCCCCCCTGCCATTCGAGGGACGGCCCAGAGCAGGGAGGAGACGCTGTGGCAGCGGGACAGGGCAGGGGGCTGATCTCCCTACCACCAGTACCATCTGTCGGGGCTGCTGCATGCCAGGCCCCCCTGCTAGGCAGGGGCTGGGGGAGGGGCAACTCAAGGACTCAGCAGCCCCCCCCCCCCCCAGCCCGAGCCCAGCGGGCAGAGTGAAGGGATTGAGTCAGGTGGGGGGCAGGGCCTGGGGCAGCCTGGCCCAGCCCCTGTTTCCAAGCACACTCTCCGCGGGGCATGGGCAGACCATCCAGGGAAGTGACGGCAGAGCGGAGCCCCCCAACCCCAGGGAGAGCACGGAGCCAGAACAAGCTGCGGCTGCTCCTCCCCCATGACACCAGGCTGGAAGGGGTTAAGAGCACCCTGCCCCTGCTGGTGTGTGGAATGTCTGAGGATGGTGCCCATCAACTGGCACCTCGCTGTCCAGCCCTAGCTGCACCTGCCTGTCCGGGGTGGGGCAGCCCCACACCTCGCCTGGGGCAGCCTGAGCTGCAGCAAAGCAGAGCCCAGCTGTGCTCCTGTGGCACGGCCACCCAGGCTCTGCCAGACTCCGGTGGCTGCAGCAGGTGCCAGGGCAGCGGGTACATGGGGGCTGCTAGTGGAGCCTGACCTTTGTCTGCATCCCTAACATTCCTGCCGAACACCCTGGGGCTGCGTGGAGCCTCCTCCAGCCCCTCCTGGCGCCCCACACTCAGCTCCCCATCCTCTCCTCCAAGTGCCTTTGTGCCCTGCGCTGCAGGGCGAGTGGCACAGCTGGGCCGTGTGCGCAGAGCCAGCTACATCCTCCTCGTTCCTAATCTGCTTTCCCCAGGCTGGCTGCTGCTTCCAGCGAGGGCGGGGGGGTGGCAGCATCCCACCATGCAGACTGGGAGCTGCCTGCAGAGCCAGGCTGGGATCCCCCCAGCGCTGGCCCTCAAGCATGCCGGGGATCAGCCAGCCTTACCCTGTATAAGGGGGAGGGGACTCAGCAGGTGTGTAGGATCTCCCCCTACCCTGGCCTGGGCTGTGGGGCAGGGCCCTGGAGCCTGCATTCTCAAGGCACTTCCTGCTGCACCTGCTAGTGCCGCCCTGGGGTGCAGATGCACTTGGCCGAGAAGCAGCTGCTGTTGGCTTCTGCACCCAGGCAGGCTCTAGCTGGGGGCTCTGTGGCAGAGTGGGGGGGGGGGGAATCCCTAGGGAATAAAACACCCACCTGTGGCTTTTACTTTCACCTCTTAGTGTCTTCTTGCCCTACGTGTGCTGCTGCCCCATCACTCCTGCCTGCTGCAATCGCCTGCTCAGCTGGGGCCTGGAACCTGTGTCCAATTTCCACTCGCCCCCTGGAGGGGGGGACTGGGATTTTTGGGGCATCATTTTCCTGTGGCACTCCTTGCCACTAACTCCCTCGACTTGACAAGGGAGAGATGTTCCTACAGCTGCCAGGCCCATCCCCCCCTCGCAGCATGCTAGATAGCTCTGAGGGCCTCTTCCGGCAGCTGGCCACTGGCATGGCTGGAGCCCAGGGGTAGCTGACACAGCAGGAGCTGGGTAGGTGGCTAGCCCCAGGCAGCTCCCCGAAAGGTTTCAGCATGTCGGGGTGGGGCACAGCTGATCCCAGCCACCCCACAGAGAGAGGCAGGGGCCCTGCTCTCAACCATGAGGCTTGATTGGCAACTGCCTGCTGCAGGGAACTAGTTTGGGAACCCTCCCTTGAGGGCTGGGACGGGGGGAGGAGACTTGGTCAGGCCTGACAGGTGACTCCACAGCACGAGCACCCCTGCTCCCATCCCACCCCCAAGAGCAGCTCCGGGTTGGCCATGTTGGGGCCAAACTGGCAGGCCCCCACGCCCCTTGTTGCCAGAGCAGTGGCACCTGGGCACTTTGGCTCAGGCCCCCCCTGTGCTACCCCTGCCCTACAGCCCCTGGTTTGCTTGGATTTTAATGCTGGTATTTCTGAAGTTCTCTCTGGGGTGAGAGGAGAGCTGCAGCTGTGCCTGGCCCCTGTCACCCTCCTGCAGGCAGAGGGCCAGGGGCAGCCTGGCACGGATCTGTGCCCTGGTGCCCCCTCCAGCCCATGGGCTGCACATGAAACCCCTTGAGTTTGATCCAGGGAGCGAGACTGGGGCCAGCTTGGCCTGTGGCCCCCCAACCCCCAATGTGTTCTCTAGAATGGCATTAATATATAAAACCCTTTGACCCCCGCCCGTGTCCGGCTGGTTCCTCCATGTGCAATGCAAGGCAGGGCCTAGCTCCAGGGCTGGGCCCATACTTGGCTCAGGGGTGGTTATTGCTGGACAGCCGATTTGAGGGACACTTGCTCAGTGCAGACGGCTCCTTTCCCCTGGTTGGGGCCTGCATAGCAGCAACGTGGGCCAGGCTGGGCCCAGGACGAGCAAGAGTGCCAGGGCTGTACGGCCTGCTGGAATGCAAAAGCAGGGCCCCCCTGGCAGGTGGGGACAGCTGGGAGGGGAGGCAGGCACCCAGTGGGTGGCTGTGCAATGCTGCTCTGGGCTGGCAGCAGCACCTGAGCCTGCCCCTCTCTGGCCCCACTTAAAGCAAAGCTGGGCTCAGAATAACACCTGGCAGCTGCCCAGAGCAGGCTGGCAGGTGGTTTTGTGCCATTTTCCTGCAAGGCAGAACCTCAGAGCAGCCGCTTTGCACCCAATCAGTGCCCAGGGCAGGCCGTGGGCCCAGGCCCCGGTGCTCCCCACTTGGCTGGATGGGCCACAGCTGCATGCCAGGGGGCACAGGAGGGACAGCTCTGTTCCAGGGAAGAGAAGGGAGGGCAAGGCGGGGCCCTGGAGTCCAGGCTAGGGGCAGCGGGGAGATGTTCACACTGGTGGCACAGCCCCCTTGGCTGGGGGAAGGAGACAGGATTGACGTCAGCACCTTCCTCCACACCCTTTATTGGTTCTCACGCTCTTCCAACCACTTCAGCCCTAATGGCACCAGGCCCCCCAGTTCCCGGCCCAGGCTCCAGCCACAGGTGGGGCACGCTTAGAGGCAAGGGAGCTGGTGACCAGAGGGCCTGGTGCCAGTCCAGCCCTGGGGGCTGGGCATTGCCAAGACCCCTGGAACAGGGGCTAGAATAAGGACATGCTCCTGCATAGTGCCCAGCGGACAATGCAGGCACGAGCTCAGGGCAATGCACATTCAGGGACTGAGGTAGGGCGCCAGGAGCCAGATGCTGCAGTGCCCTCCCCCCGCCCCGCTGCCTGCCCCGTCCAGGACGCAGGGAGGGGCCTGCGTGCCCAGGAGAAATGTAGGGAGATGCAGATGCCCCCAGGAGTGTAGAAAGCAAAGCAGCCCAGCTTCCCTGGCCCTAGCGCAGGCACCTGGCTCCCAGGTGGTGGGGAAGCAGGGCCTGGCCCAGCCCAGCTTCAAGGCCCCGGCAACAGGAGAGCCTAGAGGGGGGGCAGGGGGGACCCTTAACCTTCAGGCCTCCAGCAGGAAAGGGCCACTCCTGGTGCCCGTGGGACCTTTGGGGGTGGTAGTAGCAAGGGGAGCAGAGGACGAAGCACCCGAATGCGTGCGCCCCCACTGCTGTGTCCGGGGTTAAACTCTCACGGCAAGGGGGGGGGCTCAGCCCCACGTACTTAGCTCCAGGGGGGCTGGGTGGGACAGATCCTACAGCGAATAGGGCCTGTATGCCCTGGGGCAGCCAGAGAATAGGGCCCCGAGGCTGGAAGTGAGACAGACTGAGGGGCCAGAGCAATCCCCACTCCCCCCTCACTGTGGGCACAGCCACCCCTCAGCGCTGGGTCGGCCCCCACAGGCACCTCACAGCAGGCCGTGGGGCCGGGCGGCGCCGGCGTCCCAACGCAGGAGCCAGCGCCGCTTGCAGTCGAGGCCCGACTTGGAGCAGCGGTAGCCAAAGGGGCAGCAGTGGCGCATGTCGGAGCAACAGGAGCCCTGCGGAGAAACGAGAGGCATGTTACTGTCTGCTGGGGGCAGCCGGGCTGGAGCATAGAGGGAGCAGCTGCCCTGCAGCTGGGGCAGGTCACAGTCCCCCCAACTTCCCCCTGGTTCCCCTGCCAGGGGCCCGGCCTGTAGAATGACCTCCAGCCCTGGGCGCAGCATGGCTGGGGGGCCCAAGGCCACAGCAGGCAGATGGGTGGGAGGGCAGCAGCTGGGAGGGGCCGAGGTCCAGGGTCTGCAGCCTGCAGCCAGCGGGAGGGGCTGGGCAGATGTTGGAGCCGTGAGCTGCAGGGCTCTGTGCTGCTCCGGGGCAGCCAGCACCTCTCCCCCCCGGGGTCCTGCTACGCCCGCCCCTCACCCAGTGGTAGGGGCAGCAAGCCCAGGCGCCCGAGGCAGCCTTGCAGCAGGTCTGGTGGGCATGGCAGTAGTGCTGGGCGTCGCAGGTCACGTCGTTGCTGGGCTCCGGGCTGGCGGGCAGCAGGGAGGCAGAGAGGCTCAGGTCCACGGGCAGCACTCGCCCGGCCTGGTGCTTCTCACAGCTCTGTGTGGCCAGGTTGCAGGTGTAGCCCCATGGGCAGCAGTGCTGGTGATCCTCACAGCACACAGCCTGGGGAAAGAGGGGTTAGCCAGCACCGAGCAGAGACAGAGCAGCCTGGCAAGGCCCGCAGGGCGTCACCCAGGGGCCCTGGCTCCTGACCCCTCCCCCCCCCACACCCCATCACCCTCCCACAGCCAGGGAGAGAACCCAGGAGTCTCTTAACCCCTCCCCCCACACTAATCCACCAGCCGTCCCTCCCCACACCCACACCCACACCAACCCAGTGGTTTTCAAACTTTTTTTCTGGCAACACAGTTGAAGAAAATTGTTGATGCCCGTGACCCAACCGAGCTGGGGATGAGGGGTTTCAGAGGGGCTCAGGTGAGGGCTTTGGGGTGGGGCTGGGACTGAGGGGATCGTGGGGGCTCAGGGCTGGGGCAGGGGGTTGGGGCGCAGGAAGGGGCTCTGGGTTTGGGTGGGGCTCAGGGCTGGGGCAGAGGATTGGGGCACAGGCTTACCGCAGGCGGCTCCTGGTCAGCAGGGGTGCTAAGGCAGGCTTCCTGCCTGTCCTGGCACCACGGACTGCGCTGCAACCCGGAAACGGCCAGCAGCAGGCCTGGCTCCTAGGTGGAGGCGCGCAAGCAGCTCCACGCAGCTCTCGCTCACAGGCACCACCACCCAGCTCCCATTGGCGCCCCCACCTAGGAGCCGGACCTGCTGCTGGTCACTTCTGGGGCGCAGCGCGGTGTCGGAACAGGTAGGCACTAGCCTGCATTAGCCGGGCAGCACCACCAATGGGACTTTTAACGGCCCAGTCGGCGGTACTGACCAGAGCCGCTGTAACCCAATTCTGGGTCACGACTCAGTCTGAAAACCACTGCTCTAACCCACCAGCCCCCACTCCTCTCCCAGAGCCGGAGAGAGAA